AATTAGGGTATGTGTTCCCTTTCCTCTGCCTTTAGTGGTATTTTGGTGTTCACTTCTGAGAAGTACAATTGGAAGTATATCCAAGCAGCCTTGGGGTTTCTGCTGACTCAGGGCCTAGACTTCAGTGCCTCTGAGGCAGAACCAAGGGAGTCTGCACTGGGGGAATCCCTCTCTGCCTGCCCACCCGCCCACCTGCCTGTGACTGTGTACCTATCACAAAGCTTTAGGGCCAGCTGATGTTGTGTGTGTGCAGGATGGTTTTGAGGCAAAAACAATACTTAACTGAATGAATCCTATTTATATCATTGTTCAATCCTGTGCATGCTATGAAATGATTATTTCTTTGAGGCATATATGCTTCTGGGTTAGGATTACACTAGCTCACTAACATGTCAGGATGTTGGGACTGAGAGAAGTTTGGGCTGATTTTTTTTTAAGTATTTTTCTCTCAAACTGGTGGCCAACAAATGGCTAAGACATTTCCGGTGCTTCACCTTTGTGCTTGCAAAGACGGGAGAATTTGGCATACTGCTAATTACAACCCCAAGCCACATCCAATGAAACTACTCTTAAAGGACCACTGGCCACTCTTAAAAGAGCTTAAAAATCAGGAGATTAATAAGACTTTAGGATTTAGAAGCTTGTGTTGTCTTTCCCCAATAATTATTGTGTAATCTCCAAGTAGTAGCCTTATCTTAGCAGCGGATAGATCATTGGCTCCTCTGTACCTGATCATATGTTATTACTTTAAATCAAAATTTGGGAAACCCAGGCATTTATGCAATGGATATGAATGGAAATATAAAAATACGTGCTAGCCTGTCTCAGTGAATTATCGTATATGTAATCCTCAAGGAAAGTACTTTTGCTTTTACTTAGAAAGGATTCCAGATTTGCTTTATGGGCTCCTGCTGTCTTCAGCACCTGATAAAACTTTAACCAGGGAAGCATTAAACACAGTGCAGCAGCTTCTGCCCAGGCTCCTGAGTTCCTGCTGGCAGCATTTGTCAGTGTAAGAACTAGGATGCTGCCTGCAGTGGCACCAGCTTCTCCTAAAGCTGGAGCATGTTGCCTGGCCTTACGCCCCAGCGTGATGAGGCTTCCCTCCTGCCAGGGCTGTAAGAGTTAGAGTGCTCAAAATTGTGTCCTGACTGGCTGAAGACTGGGTTTGCAGAAATCCCTAGAGAGAAGTCATCTAGGGAGGCAGGTAAAGAATGTCTTCTGAATGAATTGGATCCTCACAGCAATCCCTGGCTGCTTTTCAAAGATTGGGTATCTGGAGGCCAAGAGGGGGTTTGTCCTTTGATTTGATGTCATTAAATCCAGGGCATATCCAAGAAATGCTTAGAGTCTCTGCTCTGACAGCCCAAAAAGGGAAATGACTTATATTGGGGACCAACTGTGAGCCAGACCCTGTACTCAGGCCCTATTTCTCAGATGATAGTACAGATTTGGAGGGCAAGAGTCACTTGCCTTGAGTTACGCAGCTAGTAGATAACTGGAGCCAGATTATGTACCCAGCTCTGCCTAACTCTGTGTTTGCCTAAAACACGGGGAGGAAAAAGGCTGCAGTTTGCCCCACTGCAGTCTGACCATCCCACTTTATGGATTCTTTTTCAAAAGTGCATTTCATGGCTTGTAGTTCAGGCTCAGAAATGGCATTGGGGTAGCCTTCTTCTTCCACTTTAGCAGACACATTAGGTACACATTGCTAACTTGAGCCTGCCCCCAAGAGTTGGGGTGAGGGGGGCCTTTCCTTTTTGGTGTCATCCCCCATAAATAAAGTGTTTCTAGGCTTCCAGGTATAGAACTTCTCAGAAATATGGAAAGCAAAGGGTGTTCTGCTAACTTGAACTGAAAATGTCTGCTGCTACACTGCTGCAGAAAGGAAGTCTTCATATTTTAGTAAACCTAGCCAGTCTGTGCCCAGTGAGGATGTGGTCATTCGAAGTCCAGTGACTCTAGACTTTCCTACTAATACCTGATGTGATACATACACACACGTAATTTAACAACTAAGGGAAATTCAAAGCAGCCCCCTCATTATCTCGCATACAACTGCAGAGGTTTCTGCCAGCCCTGATTACAAGTGTCACCAGATAATTGGAGCTTAGGTGCTTGCTTACAAGATGCTTACAAGAAGAGCAACTCCTTGGCAAAGGTTGTCAGCTCCTAAAGCACTGAGCCAAAGTGACAGCCCTGAAGGAAATTGCACTCCAGCCCTACTCCAAGATGTCTAATGATAGGAAATTTGGATACCTGACCATTTTGGTGATCTGAGAGTCTGATCACTCCAGTCAGGCCTGTGGGCACAGCTGCAGAATTCGCAACTGGTAAGATGGCAGGGCAGGGCTCTGGAAATCCTCTCCTCCACCTAGAAAATACTCTCTTGCCGATACCTGAAATTTCACACTCATGTAATATCTATCTGTTCAGTGCATGCTTTTCCATAAGAAAATCAGTTGCATGTTTACTGTGTGCCTAGCACACCTGGAATTTTCTATTTAAAAAACAAATCTATCTCATTATGGATGGACTCAGCCCAGCTCTGAGAGAAAAGAAGGCCTATAGGGGAGGCTTCAGATCTCATTAATATTACCTTACTAGGCAGTGTTTCTGAATCCGAACCCCAGCCTGTTCCATGAGCCATAAGGCCCATGCAGCCCTGCCCTCTGGGGGCCTGCCTAGTAAAACAGTAGCATTTGGAATTTAAGAACACACCGGAAACAGCAGGACAAGTGTCAGAGCAGGAAAATAAAAATAAATTAAGACCCTGTGGGTATAATGGTGCAAAGAATGCCACAGAGCCCATGCTGGGCTTGATACGACCTTGAGGGGACAGTAGATTTATCCTCAGTGGGAGTTAAACCTGCCCAGCCTTTCTGTAGTGACAGGCCACTGTGTGGGTGGGAGAGTCAGCAGGCCCGCTGTCCTCTGCCTGCTGTCCTGTGCAGTCACATTCCCTCCTCAGTCATCGTCCCCTTTCACCCTTTACATTAAACAAGGGAACACTAAATCTTTCAAGGGAATTACATGTTTGAGTTAATGTTTCAGTATATCATTTTCATACTGTAAATTATTTTGTAAAAGAGATTTACCGCTATCCCAGAATGTTTGGACTCAGCGCCCCTGTGCATTTGGAAATCAATAAACTATTACTGGAAATACCATTTGTCTCTCAGAGTTGTGCACAAAGGACCCTGCTAGGTGTAAATATTTATGACGATCTGCCTTCTTAACTGTGATAATGCTGGAGATGATGGTGTTTTGGTTATGAGAGGTGGGAGACTTACTCGCTCCTGACTTCTCCAGAGTGGCTTTAGGAGATCTCTGGCAAGTGACAAAAGAACAGACTTAAATTCATTGTTATTTAGAGAGGTGTTTTCTCCTCACAGTGAAATGACTCATGCATAGGTTAAATTTTCTGAGCAAAGTAGATTATAAACTAAAGAATTCTGGGTCATGAATGATGTTTTCAAATAACATTAAAGCTTGGTAATTTAAATTAGCCAGGGGGAGGTCAAATTTTAATTTTTACTGTCTTTTCTAGGAAAAAAAAGTCTTCATACAGCAAATTACAGTTAGGCCAGCAAAATCATCTTTGTGGAACCTTAGAAGTACATATTTGATATAAATGATGACAAGATAGAATTAAGCTATAAATGAAGCAGTTCTAACTCAGTTTGTAATATTAGGAGCAGAGGATGCATTAAAACCAAGAGGCAAAATGAGAAGACTCAAGATAGTAGATACTGTGTGCATTAGAAAGTACAAGTCCTACCTAAAGGCATTAAAATTCAGTCTTTAAAAATCCATCCTTAGAACCCACCAGCAAGTGTGTCTGGAGGAGCTGCGGTTTATGAACCCTGCTCTGAAACAAATTTGTGTCCATCAAACCCCTTTAGTTAGCGGGGGGCTATGTGAACTTCAGAGAAATTGTTCAAGATAGGGTGATGGAGCGAGTCAGTCAAGGTCACCCAGTGAGCCACGCTGATAAAGCCAGGCCAGCAGACTCTCTGTCTCCTGTAGCAGTCATTAGGCCCCGCTTCCTCCCTCCCCAGTTGCCCAGGAGACTTCTGCCTGGTGGGATGGGATTGCCAAGCGCTGTAGCACTTGGAAGGTTTGGTGTTTTAACGAACCACAATGTGTTTGGAGGTTTTCTCCCCTACTTCCAGGTGCCAGTATCTCAACACCACATCCCATTGCCCCAGCCCTTTCTCGTTTTATTGTCTTTCCTTCTGAAAGCTACAACTCTTTGTTTCATTGATCTTTGCTTGGTCCGACTTACAGGTGGCCCCATTTCCTTTACACTCATAAAAGCATGAAGTTGCAGCTGGTCTGGAGTATCTCCTGGCCTTAACAAGGCACCCGAGGTAGGTGCACCCAGCCGAAAGTCAGGCTGCCAGTATTAATAAGAGAAGAAGATGTCACAGAAAAGAAGACAAAAAGAAAGGCTGCTTGAAGTCAGTAACTGGCTCTGCTGAGTATCTGCACTTATTAAGTATTGCAGCCTCCAAGTTAAATCATTCATTTTGTTAATAATAATAGCTACAACTTAGTAAGCTCTTTGTCTGGGCCAGGCACTGTCCTGGTTGCTTTTTACATTATCTTATTCGATTCTCATAGCACTAATGTTATCATCCCCTATAGTCAGGAATCAGAGAGTTAAATACTGTGCCCAAGGTCAAACCCTAATAAACGAGAAGCCAGGATTTAAACCCAGGTCTAGCAGACTTTGTGCCCCTGCTCTTAATCTCTTCCCTCCTGGCTGCACTGATTCCACCTTATGCTAGTAAATAGTATACCCACCGCCCCCCTCTCCCCACATACACCTATAGTTTGGCCTTGGGGCAAAGGAATTTGCCTTTTTTAGGCCTTGTTTTGTACAGTTTGCAAAATACAGTGTTCAGTGAGGGAAGGAAGGCTAAGGAGAGCAATGAAATCCTCTTCTGACCTGAAACTGCGCTTTTGGAAGGAGGGAACGATTAGACTTGCTTTATCTTTTTTATTTCAAGGCCATAAATGATGAAATCATCAGAAGACGCAGAGCCATGGCTTCTTTGGCCATAGTCTTAGAATCCCAAAAGTCAGCCAACTCTGGCACTGAGTCTGTAATTTAATTAAACATCTTGAAGATGTCTCCAACAGCTTGACAGTAGTCCAGCTTCATATTCTTGGAAAGGGACTGCGAAAGGAGCTTGTCTGTTCACCGAGTCGAGCCATCATGGCCACAGCACACCATTTGCCTTACAGAAATGGGCCACAACCTTCACACCATTTTAGGGAGTCAGTAGCAACTCATCTACCCAGGGCTCAGCCATCTTTCAGCTTCACCTATCCCTGTTTCTTGAGCATGGAATCCACAGGAGTGGTTTGACAATGAGTAATTGAGACAGAACTGGGAAAATCTGAAACCTCTGCCGGGCCCTTTCAAAAATGACTGAGAACTGGAAAGTAAGCAAACAAGGCTTCTGACCAGTTGAAATAAATACTATGAAGCACCCCCGTAAGGGAAAGGCCACGTACCTGCCCATAAAGCACCCACTCAGAACCTGTTTATTCCTACTTCACACATAATTCTAAATGTCTGATGTCTGGTTTCCAAGCTTACAGCAGATTAAATTTAAGGGTGAGAAATAGATTTCTAGAGGAAACTTAGGTCAATAAGGAAAAAGAGCTGACAGCAATAAAGAAGACAAGACATTTTAAGTAGACTGAAGAGCTCAAAAAGCACTGTTTTAGGGGGACACATAATACCAAACATAGCTCTGTAAACACATTACAATTTTGAAATACTTCCTATCATAGGACTATATAATTTTATTCAAAGTGCTGACCCTGAGCATCACACCTAAAGAAACTAAATTGTGCTCAGAAGAAAGAAAAATATTTGCATATCAACCATTTTAGAAATATTTGTATCACAAATGGTAAACAAAACAAAATCAAACCCCCTTTCAGGAGTTAAGAGGAATAAACCTTTGAGTATGCAGAACATTTAGCATTTAGCTAAACAAAACAAAACATCCCACTACCTGAGGTTTTATTGTTCCAGGAGCCTCTTGTTTTTCATGGCTTTGAGAGTGACTTTCATGCTACAGTGCTTTGTGTAGAATGTCATGAACAATGGAAGTGCCAAGTTTCCAATGTGATGAATAAAACTAATAACCAGAATACAGGTCAAATTCTGTTACAACAAATACTGCTAGTATAAAAATCATTTAAGCATCCCTGTTATCTCTAAGCCTCTGTCAATTAATTACCCATTTATTTCAAGCAGTACTCATTACAGCAGAATTGGGTGTAATAAAAAGAAACGGGACCCTCACCACAAGTTGGGTGTAACAGTTTAACCTGTAATAACAGGTTCTCACTTGTATTTCTCCTATTCTTTGCTGCAAGGAGAATAAACCTTGTGTAGACGTAATACCAGCCTAGGAGGCTGGTATTTAGTAGTTGTTGCTAGGAGAAGAGAGAATTCAGAAGCAAAGGACACATGGAGTTGTGTGGCAAACTCTCACTGGGGAATTTGGTCTCCACGGTCACTTTTGACCTGCATCCACTTTGGAGCCATCAACCAGAGTCACTTGCTTCTAACAGTGATGTAATGAATATATTAAGCCCTGGAATGAAGACATGATTCATTTCCCGTGGATCACTGAACACTTTGTGGCAACTTGGCCCTGATCTAATGACCGTAAGATAAAGACATTTAGAAGCATGTGACTAGAATAATCCTTTCTCCCAAGATGCACTGCTTTCAACACTGCGTGATTGTGAAAGCACACGCCACATTGATTATATGTAGAAGTGATCTAAGTTAATCAGCTGCATTCCCATTGATATACAGGCAAGGAGTTTTCCCTACTTATCCATCTTTTGCTTGTGGTAATGATGAGTTTTGTCATTTGCTATAATTTTTTTTCGCCTTTTTTTTCTTTTACTTAAACACTTTTCTTAAATGACTACATTGCAATCAATATTTTGTAACACCCGTAGCAGCAGAAGGGATTAAATCACAGTTCACATCTGAACAGTACAATCAGCAATAGGAAAGGAGTTGGGAGGGAGAGGGAAATTGTCCACCTTTTCCTGATGATAATGCCTGGCTCAGACCCCAGATTCACATCATGCTCCAAAGGAGTTCATAAATTCTGGGCACCGCTCAGCCCGAGGAGGCAGACAGCAGCCCTTTCGTACCTCGCTCGGGGTGAGATGAATGGTCTGTTGAAGTCATGCCATTACAGAATATGTTCACCTCTGCTTGCTTTCTCCCCAAAGCCAGAGTGTAGCTCAACATTTACATGTCCTAGGCCAGGGGATCAGGCTGTGAAGAGCCTGAATGCTTTGCTTGGCTCTTGAAAACACTGAGTCCAAGTGTAGTTCTCTGGCCTGAAGGAATATTTGCTGCCTCACCATTTTTATTAGGGCATCTGGAAATTGCAGGTGTTGACTGGAAGTAACCTTTCTGTGTCTGGTTTCTCTGTACACATTCAGGCTTCTGGGACCTTTTGACCCAATTGGATGGCTGTGTCCTAGTAACACATTCAGCCTGTTCCAAGTGTGAAGAGCCATGATAGATGAGTAAGATTGCGGTTTGGCTTGGTGGGGGGTGGGGAGGGGCGGGTGGTGTCAGTGGGGTGATTATGGGTGGAGACAATCATAAACTACCGATAACAATAAAAATGGGTATTTTCTCAGCAATTAAACCAATTTCCTATTTGCTAACAGGTGAGTTCTCATCTATTTTCCCCAAACTCCTTTTTTCCCTGGAAGATACTGGCCTGTCTGGTCAAAAACAGCGCATTCCTTCTGAGACCACACTTAGCTCACTTACGGCCAAAGTATACTTGTCTGTTAATTTACTCAAAACTAGGTCACCTTTTAAGCCCCTTTCCCCACTGGCATGAGGACAAGACATGTGGAGGAAGAATTAGGTCACCTGGGGGGTCCACTGTTGCCTATGGTTAAGTGGTGTACAGAAGCCAAGGTTTCTAGAATGTCTTTTGCCATTTCCCAGATGGTGAGAAAATCCATTTGGAGTGTTTATGCCCCTCTTGATAGCCAAGCCATGGGCTTTCTTTTATGTTGTGCTACCGAGGTTAGTCGCTGCCCTCACAAAAGATAATTTTGCATTTCATGATGACTGACTGACTGATAGTCACTGGAATAGTCTCAGGAGGGGGTGTGCACAGCTGCTGTGTTTCTTCGGGCCCGGCGCCTTGTCAGATGGCAAACTTGCAGAACAAATAAGGCGCTGGCCTCATTCACCAGGCAGGCAGAAGTGATCCAGAGTTCAGGCTTCCCTCGCCTTTTATCCTCACACCCTCCTTCCTCCCCTCCTCCGCCTCTTCTTCCGGTCTCTCCATCTGGAAACCATGAGCCTCATGGATTCCAGGCATAAATTCTCAGATTTCAGATGTTTGGGAAATTTCTTCGCTTGGGTCATTCTTTCAGAGTAAGAGAATTCAATTTGGGAGGAAACACAGCTGAGACCCTTCCACAGAAGAGAAAGTAAATAAGGTGTGGTGTGTATCTATCGTCTCGCCAACTCAGCTCCAAACCCACACACAATGTCTGATTTGAGAAAAAATATTGAGGTTCCCTCCTGGGAGGGAACAGAGTAGAAAAAACCAAATCTCCACTCACAGAAACATACTGCTGTCCCTGCTGAGGTGTAAACATGACTGGCATCAGATAACAGGATGGAACTGATGTTGTGTGTGTCGATGAGGAAGAGGAGTGTCTCTGGAGGTGAGGCCTCAGAGTGATGGAATGAAGTGAAAAGTACAAACGTAGCCTGAATTGTTAGGGAGAAACTGTTAACATTATGAACCACTTAACCCCAGTATTGCATCTCCAGGAAAAAGCAATGTGCGGTCTTCTGTCTTTGGGAAAATAGAATGACCTTCCTCCTCATGCTGGGTTTTAGAGGCAGACAGGCTTGATTCGAGTGCTGGCTGTGTCCCTAACTAACTCTGAGGAGCTGAAGGAGCAGCTGGACCTTTGGGTCCTAGTACAGTGCCTGACACATAGGAGGAGCTGAGTGAGTGGCAGCTCGTGATCACTGTGTATCGTGACGACCATCGTCCATCAAGATGGAGTCCCCTGAGGATTGTGGACGGCGCCTGCCCCCTGCTGCCCACCCTGGCTTGTCCGCTTGGCCTGTCTGGAGCCTCTCCAGGGCTGCTTCTCAGCTCTCTCTGCCACACCCTCCCAGTCACACTTTCATATCAACTTTGTAAGTGCGTCAAATGATACGTATTTATTTGTTCACATGGTTACTGTCGGTGCCTTTTTGGAGCTTGTATTGTTTGTTCACTCCTATATTACCAAGGCTGATAAAATTGCCTGACCCAGAATAGATGTTCAAATATACTTGTGGACTTGCTGACTGACATCTTGATAGCATCCGTATCCAGAGTCGCTCCAGATATTACATCTTGATGCAGAAAACTGGGAGACACCTTTAGCTACATCTACCCCAGCATGAGTGTTCAAAGCACGTGGTGCCACCAAAAGATATCTGCTCTTCGGGAGAAGAGGGAGGAGAGCTGGGACATCTAACTGCCATCCCGGCTCGGCCACTAACAAGCCGGGCAGCTTGCCTCTAAGTACCCCTGAAATGAGGGGTGAAGTCAGCTAGATTGGAGGATGTCTCCGGCTCTTCCAGCTCTCACATTGAAGGCTCTTAGCAAAGCGAGAAGTGACAGTGGGAACAGAAAGATGCTTCCTCTAGGAATCCCAGCTCTTCTTCCTCTGTGTGTGTGCATATATGTGTGTGCATGCACAAGCATATGTTCACGCGTGTGGGGGTGAATATGCACGTGTATGTATTGCACAGACACGTGTGTATGTGTGCACACATGCACTAGGGCTGGCCATAAAGGTGGACTTTATGGAGAA